GCCCGGGGCCGGCGGCCTGCCCGGGGCCCGGCTCCCCCGCCGCCTGCCCGGCTCTGGGAAGCCGGAGGGGGCTGCTGAGACCCTGTCCGCACAGGGGGTCACCCCAGCGGCGGCCCTGTGCACACCTTAACCGCTCAGTGGGCGCCTTTCGCCCCAGTGAAACCCGAGTTTAGCAAAAACGCCGTCGTGTCCTCCAGTGGCTCTAGCTACTCCCGTTGCAGGCATTCATACCCTAAAGACACACTGGTAGAGTTACAGGCATGATTGTTCTGTAGCCCATCACCATCAAAACGAAACTCGGATAGTTTAAATACCTTAAATGGCTGGGCTTTGCTAACCTGTGCTCTTCGACAGAGCAGGATGAGAGAGCAAGACATGAGCAGCTCTGCCGGTAGATCAGCAAATCCCTGTAACCTCTGGCAGGGATTTGCTGATAAGCGGCTGGTGCCAAAAGAATGTGCAACATCCACAGACTCAGCACTTGAGACAAAAGCTCTAAATCCAGGCCTAAGGCTTCTCAAGCTCTTACCAGGAGTCTGATCCAGATGCAAACTAGCACATGAGCATAAAACCAGAAGACTCAGGACATCTAAGTCCCATGTTTGCAGTCTAAAGGAGAGACATTCCCCAGCGCACAGCTTGTATCTAGCCCCGAGCAGCATCTCTGGGCAGAGCTGTGTCCTGCTCTTGCATGCAGTGCTAGATGCAGCTGAAGGACGAGTGAGAAAGGGAAATCCGAAGGAGCTCAGGGACTCCAGGGGACACTGGTGCCAGTGGCTGACACAGGTGGAACCCCTCGTCAGCCTCTGACTTCAAAGGGGAAGAGGTCCCTCCATCAAAAGCAATTGTGCATGCTTGGCTGAGAGGGCAACAGGGCTGAAATCCACTCTCTGTGGGAAACACTTGTTTGCCAGAGTAGACAGCATGTGCAGAGGTGTCCTCCTTACACTCACTCATTTAACAGTGTGCAGGTTATTGCCACAATTTCCTAAGCGTGCATGACCCTACTCCTCTCTGCCCCCATTAAGCTTTGATTTGATCTATACAGACATGCTGTTCATAGAGCCCTTCACTGCTGCTTGTTCAGTTCTGGTTTCTGTACATTCCAACCCCGTCCCACCAAGCTGCTGCACTGTGATGCTGCCAGCTGCTGAGTACTCTGGTTTCACTTCTGGAGGGCGCAACACAGGAAGAGCTCCAGCTGCCTCCAGATCTCACTGGTACTTCATCTGCTCGCTTGCCTCTGGCTTCTGTGACTTCCTGAGTACATTGGGCCCATACAGCAGCACTCCCTGCAGGCCACACGAACATGCTCACTGGCCTCGCTGGTTTTGTTGGGGCACCATCTTGCCTTCAGTGAGCTAAATAAGTGCTTATTGCTATCAGCATCTGTTAAAGTAGACCAAAACCTCTTGCCAGATTGTCTGAAAGATAGCTGGGATGAGTAAAGAAGCCACAGGAAGTGCCACAGTACCCACGCTGCCTTCCCCAGGAGGTGAACATCTGACTTCCCCACAACCACAGTCATGCTCCTGTCCCTTGCAGCCCACAGCTCTACCTACTGCGGCCTACGCAGAACAGAGAGCTGGCTCTGCACTTAAACCCCAAAAGTTCCTCACTGTTGCTGAATGGTTAGTGTCTGCAGATACCACTGCAGCACTGGGAAAGCCAAGTCTCTGTGAACCCTCGGAATTGGATTTGCCTTATATGCAAGAATGTGGACACCACATTGCAGTTGTACTTCAGATGTGGGGCATCAACACTTTCATCTCAGAAATTAATTTAGAATTAAGGGATGAACATTCCCCTCAGTTTCACAGAAACAACTCTGTTCAGCAGCCTACATTTTACCTAGCTATGTAATTTACTTGTGATGGACAATAATATTTTTTTGCTTAACAACTGTTTCTCAATAATTGTACTTTTCTATGAAAAGACCTTACCTAATTAGGCCCATGAACTCGAGAACTAGCCTGCTGCTTTTGTGTTTTTGCAAGTACATCAGAAAAAAAAAGCAGCAGCGGACACAGCATGCATACAGTGCACATTAACAGCAGTGACCAACATCAACCCATTATGGCCAATCTTGCAGGTCAGCAGAGAGAAGAATTTTCCTGCCCTGCAGAAACTAGGCTGCAGATTTAGGATCATGCCTAAATTAGATGCTTTCCAGCACAGAAAGACAGGCTGTATTTAATGACTGGCTAGCCAGAAGTGGTAAGGAGCTGGAATTCTCCCCTCCCTGCCTCTCTGCCACTAGCACTGAGTGCCTGCATAATGTTACAATAAAGAAAATAGCTCAAACTTCCCACGTAGGAACTACTGATGGTTATCAGTGTCACACAACCATGGGAGCAAGGGGAGAGGCAGCTGTGGCACACAGTTATGCCAGGTGAACTGGTGGGGTGATCTTATGCCAGAAAAATGCCACACTATGGACCCTTTGGGTCCTTCCCTTAGGCCCAGTTAATTTATCTGAACACAAAAGCTTGCAAAGTAATGAAAATTTATTTCTCTAACTCAAAGTGGGCTGCAAAAGGCTTTAAGACCCTTCTCTTTTGGCTTGTCTCTCCCTGGAGGAAAATGCTAGTATTCCTTTCTTGAGTGTCCTTTGAAAAGGCTTTTAAGTGAAGCAAGCAGCTTTTTACTGCTACTGCAGCCTCTTTGCTTCTATTCCACTTTTCTAAGCAGCCTATCACATTAAGAAGTGGAAAACGTTCACACTGAGAGTTACAGTGGCTTCAGTGAGCCTTGTTTGCCTACAGCTGCTAGTAAGAGCTGCTCTTAACTCCTAGGTATAAGTTTTGGTAAGTTTGGACATTATTTATTTGAAAAGAAGTGATTACTCCTAAACCTGCACAAGCTTTGTCTTAGGACCTCCTAATCTGTAAACTTTATGGACTGCAGAAGCTAATCCTAGACCATATAAGTAAAGCTATACTTTCACTAATGATTTACAATTGATTTGCAAGTTATTTTCACGTACATTTCCAGGGAAACAAACAAATCCTGACAGCTCCAATTAAGAGACACAAAGCACTGTCTAAAGAACAGCAGGGAGAGAACAAAATACAACATCCTCACTTCCTTCTAAAAAAACTGCAAAAAATTTCCTTCTGAAAAAATCCCCACCTTTTTTACTGCAGAAAGAAGCTTTTTACTGACATTACCACAACAAATGAAGCAGAACACTGGCTATTTACACCCCTGCTAGCCAGCACACACGTTGGTGTCGTGTTTCAGCACCTGAAACGAGCTGCTGCCAGGCATGGAGAGCCACGGACTGCTTCGCGTAAGTAGCCGTGCGAACCAAGGAGTTCAGACTGATGCACACTCTGCTTGATGATTTTACAGACCTGCTGTGCAGTTTTTTTTCCACTTGATCCTAGGTCCGTAGGGGAAATAGAAACTTTAAAAGCCCAATCTAAATTCAGCTACAGGAGGTAGCTTTTAATTGCACTTTGGATCAATAGAGAAGCAATCTAACACTTGCTCTTGGTTACTAGGCAGGGTTTGTACTTTTCCAGTTTTCCCCTGCTTTTCATATGTTCCCTTTTCCTTATTTGCTCACACAATCTGGACTCTTCACAATTCACACAATCTGGACTCTCCACAATTTAAGTGCAGAACAAAACACTCATAGCACTAGAGAACATATCGAATTATATATCTGTGCCACAGATTTTGGTACCTTATCAGCAGCAATAGCATGTTCAGTAAGTAGTCCCAACATTTAAGCAGTTTAAAGTACCAGAAAAGTGTTAAAAATAACAATCTCAAATCCTTATAGCCTGTACTGGCGATAGGTGTACACAAGTACTTAAAGGGTGTCAAGTAGCATTTTATTTCATTTGCCAGCTGTATAAAATTAATGTCTATCTACGTTTTGGTCTGCTCTTAAAGCTCCATCCAGAATTGTCCTATCAGGAGAAAATGTGTTATTGTAGCCCTCTTGTGTTCAGTTGGATTAACAGCTATTATAGGTCCGTAGTGTCCTACCTTACCACCCCTTAAATCAAGGCTCTGCATGCTTTAACCACACTGCCATTCAATTCTTTGCCCTCTCCACCTTCCCTCAGTTTTATTTTTCTCCTCTTTCCATCCTCTTTGTAAAGTCTAAGCATATTCAGACCATGGTTCTGAAACACCAGAGTGCTCTGTTGGTATATTCACACCATAAAACAAGAGAACTGTTTTGGAGTAGGAGGACTGAAACATCCCTCATTGCCTGTAAGCACTCATATTCCTAGCATTTCTTCTCCATAAAAGGACTGTAACGAACACAATTTACAGCCTTGTTTCCCTCTTTTAGATTATACCTATGAGATCAAGTTTTAAACTGAGTGTCCCTCAGACACCATTTAGACATGTGCAACATTTCCCTACCCTTACAGAAATCACTCTGACAATCTCCAAAACCTGTAAGGACTATTGACAGTCTTTCCCTACCAATTACCAAGATTAAAAACTCTGGGGTCCTCCACTTAGCTGGGACACTGCACAGTCAGGGTTGTAAGAAGTAGTGGCTTTTACACCAACCTGCAAAGGCTGCAGCCAACAGAAGAGCAAGTTATGGCTACACTGCTTAATGGGATGGAGTCCTGTAACTCAGGGTGAGGTAACAGGTTGTTTCCTAAAAGACACTCACCTTCCATGTTTGCTGCCTCAGTCATCCTTAATTCAGCCACTACAAGACCAGCTCACTTTTACAGACAAGGATGCTCAAGGCAAGCAGTTCAATTGTGCTTCAAGAGCTGCTAGCACCTGTCTCAAGTAGCCAAACTCCAACATGGACATGCTGCTGCAGAGGAAACCTGGAGAAGGAGCTATAAACTAAGAGAAAAAGAAGGAGAAATGAATGAGAACAGAGAAAAGACAAAAGGAGAGTACTAGAACAGAAAAATAGCTATGGCTTAGCAGCAACATCAAGGAATATTAGCAAGCAGTACCCACTTGATCAGCAACACAGGTGTGCACTTCAGTTCATGAAAACGTTTGACAAATACATGCATATAGATTTTGAGAGAAGCTGAAACCATGAGGAAAACAGGCTTCAGAAAGAAAAATATAGACAGTAAGTCATGGTTATCTTCATTTGAAAGACAGCTATAGTAAGCAAAGCTAGGAGCAAGTTAAACCCTATTCTGTCTTTCCCTGTAAACAAGGTAAAGGGGAGAAAAACATGCACTTTCGTAACATTTGTTACTGCAAGCCAATTTCCTGAAGAACAGGGCAATATAAAGCATTTCAGAGGAAAAATTGAGAGACTACGTATAAAAATACAGATGGGAAATCCTACAGTCAACCTGTATTTCTACATAAATTTATCTTGGTTTTGAGCTGGATAAATGCTAAGAGATACCGAAGCCTCTGGGCGTCTCATGGAACGCACGATTCCAAGCAGACCAGGGCCTTTGTAAACAAACTTGACAGGACTTGAGTTATATATAATTCAGTTATAACAGATACATGTAAGGCAACCCATCTTTGTGACAAAAAGCAATTTAGAAGGGAATGTACTAAATATTCTGCAGACAAGCCAGTCAATCCCTCTCAAATTAGTATAACACATCAAGAGTAAGTCAAAGCATATGGTTCAACTTCTCTTTGTGAGCACAGCTTATATAGTAAAACTGGGAAGAAACCCTGGGTACACAAGTGAGTTGGAAGGCAGTTAGGGCAAGTCTGAGCTGCCTGTACGTTGTGGGGGGGAAAAGGCTATAGAAGTAGAAAACAAAGTTTCTAATGACCCCATATATTTCAGTTTATTATTTGATAAAATATTTTATATTTAATTTTATGAAAAATTGTATTTTATTACTGATACTATTTTGATACTTTCTTCCATTGCTGAAGTGATAAAACCAGTAACACTGTCTTTGAATCTGTTCAACTATTATCTTTTACATATTAATACAGTTTAGTAGACCACATGCAGCTACCTAGAGACCATGCCCTTACTTCCTCCAAAGGGGCAAAATCTGCTGCATCATTTGGTAGCAGTCACTTAAGAGATCATTGAGAAGGCTTGCCTTACACCCATCAGAGCAGCAGAGAATGCCTTCAAAGGCCATACTGCAGCTCACTGAAAGATGCTGAGCTGATGATAAATTTAAATGTTAAGCTGGCAGAAATTCATCATTTTCTGTAGAGTTTGATCATGGTATTTCACTGTTAGCCAGGTCATTCAGCATTGAGGACTTAATCTACAGAGACAAAAAACCTTAAGAGAGTTTTCCTTCTGAAATATGTAGTAGTAAATCTGATCAACATAAAAATCTGTCCCTTTCCTGCATCTAGTGTATTCTAAATCTCTCCAATGAGTAAAGTCAACACCACACCAAAAACCCATTGCTAAGACTTGCCACACAGCTTATCTGAAATTTAAATGAAGTTTGTAACATAAGGAATGTGAAGTTATCAACTATACATTCTCATTTAGAAAAACCATACATGTATCTTAGTGCTTTCACTACAAGGACACCATTTGCAGTTTTCAAACATTCTCAAATTTAACTAATCTAGAGTTCATATGCCTTATTTAAAACATTCTGGAAGATGGTCTACACAGATGTCTAAACAGGCTTTTCCAACTACAGATCAGTAACAGCTTCGCTGCTTACAGTCAGTTTTTCTTGGAACTAAAAAACAGGGTATTTTGCTGCGGGAAAGGTGAGAAGTTTAAACTGATCAAAATGAGATGTGTCTTGTTGAAAAAAGCCCTAAAATTACAGTATATGACATAGACTACTTGGCCACCCTTCAGAGGTGGGAAGAGTTTGTGAAACCCTTTCAGATTCCTTCTCTTGCTCCTGAATACCCTAGGGAGCAGTGAGCTACACCACATGTTAACAGACCAACATTCAGCCATTCCAAGCGTTAGAAAGTCAGCCAGTACTGTATTTGAGCCTGTGAAGGCTGTGAGGGATAAGGATGCTTCCCAGCTTGTCCCCATCCTTTCTCTGTGAGAAAGTATCATGAGACAAGTATAACCACCTCCTGTGGCTGCAGTTTGTGTCCTCTGTATATATCATATTGTAGACTCTGCTTATCCCATCCAGTATGAATTAGTATTTCTCTAATAAACTCAGCCAAGTCCAAGGGATCTCAGGGAAGAGGTTGATGCTCTGATACTCTATACTGTAAGAACCTTTGCAGACCTCTGAAGGGAAACCAGATGAACCAGAGGAGAGATCTATACAAGCTGGCAAGCAATACACAGGATAGGGTTATACATCCCTAGGCTGAGATCACGGAGCAGTTGTTTGTCTCTCACGCCACTGCTTCATCATGGGCCTTTAACCCCACTGCTGCAGCTGATTCAGCTCCAACAGAACACACCTGACAAGCTCTCCCTCCAACCTAGAACTTGGACATGGCCCATGTAAAAGAGGAGCCAGAGCATACAAAGGGGGTTGTGCATTCATGGAATGGAAGAAAAGATGGATCATCCAAATAGACTAAGTGAATATCAAGAAATATTTTATTGTACATGTAATCAAAGTTTAAAAAACAGACAAGAAGGAGCAAGGGACAGATTTATCTACCATCTCTTAACTATGCAGGGTACAGAAATACAACTAGTAAAGAATTAGCACATATTAGTACCCTTTTCTCCCCTTCCCTGCCCCAATGAAGGAGGTTATACAAGCAAGATTAGTAATGCTTCAAATCAAGCCTTCTCAGTAACTGCACACTGGAGCTGACATAGTTGAAGTATGTTCATTTTCATGAGAGAGTATGTGCCTTCAAAATAGTTGTTTATGAACAAAGCACTATCTCTTTAGTGGTTTGTAAGCATTACTCATTCAACACCAAGAGTATATTTAAATGACTAATGATTTAGCAGCCATAATTATCTTGTTATATCTGAACTGACACTATCTTTAAGTATATCAATTATAGAAAATAGATTCCTTAGGTTTAACAATATGTAGTAGAGAATATATTATATAGTGGCAAAACCGTAATGTAAAGAAGCAGAGGAAATAGTCACAGGGAAGGGGGAAGCTGCATGCTGAGCAGGGGGCACACTGACTAATCAGAACTAAAAAAAAGATGAAGCTCAGGAGTGCTAGCTGCAAAGGAGTTACATATCAGTATTGGTGTAAGTTTCAGAACATCTGGTTTGAAAAATATGCTATTCATCCTACATCTACATCAATCTCCCATCTTAACTCATGACCCTACCACAGTCGGATCTTGAACAGTTCTAGCTGTGAAACTCATGTTCTGCCTTACATGCACAAAGGAGAAAGCTTCCACTCTCTTCCTATCTGGCTCTGGAAGAAGTCTGAAAGTAAATGCAGAGCATTATCAGGGCTTATTCACACCTCCAACAACTCAGTTTCCTTCCTAATTCACAAGGGTGAAGGCCTTCAGAGAAGAAAGCTGCAACTTTTTTCTAGTACAAGCTGATGTTCTCTCAATAGCTTATAAATAAGCCTTCACAAAAACGTAAGCTATACAGCATGTAGCAAGGGACAAATGCAACCAGTGTGACAAGTGCTAAATCCCAAACTGAAGGCAAGACAAGTTTGGGGATTCCCACAAAAGAAGGCTTTGTTTATTCTTCAGTGGCCCAATAAGCCTAGCAACTTGAAAGACACTTTGCAAAACTTCCAGAAAAGGCCCATGGTAAGGTAGACAAAACCAGATCCAAAGTAACAGTAACTAACATATTCTGGATTCTAATGTCCTTTGGAGACTATCAGCTTTTTGGCTTAAAATGAAAGTGAATCATGACATATTAATGATACCATGATCTTCATCTATTTCAGCCTACAGCATGGTCCAGTGCAGATTATTAGTGTCAAGTTACACACCTAGGACTTGAATTCACTAACACTCATAGCACCACTTGATTGTTGCTGTAAATAAAGACAGGCCAACCCTTAAGTCCTCTGCCAGAAAGAACTTTTGACAGTTGTGCAACACCACCAGGCCAGCTGACCTAGCCACATTTTTTTGCCCTCACCACACATGCTTCTGTTTTCAGAAAAATCTTAGCTCCAAGCTTAAACTCTGTGACATATCACCTTACTTTTGAAGTTTCGAAATAAGTTCTCCTTTACACTGTTCAAATGTAGGAAATTCACACAACTGACAGACCAATTTATTAACAATATCTCACTAGTTATTTCATGTACATGCCAACTGCACAGTCATAAAAGCCTCCCAGCTCTTCTTCATAGTTCTCAGTTTTGTAACAGGAAAGGATCAATATAGATATTTCAGAATTAACGGACCTAGGTGCAGGGAAAAGAACAGCTGTTCTGTACCTCAGTAATTATTGCTCACTTCAGCAGAGACAGGTTCCCTACCATTAAAGAAACATCAGCCTTTCCACAGGAAAAAAGTCTCTAAAATTTAGCTGGCCATTTTTTCTTAGCCATTACATTTAACAGGGCAGATTTGCTTAGCTTCCCATTCCAACAGCATTACAGAGTTGTCAAAGTATATGGCTCATACCTATGGCCTGTCTTTAAAGTAGAGTAGCTGGGCTGCACGTTTTCGTAAGAACTACAGAAGTTTATTAGCTGTGCTAAAACACTAAAGAGCCTAGAATTGTTTGAAGACTCACCAGCTACCTAAACACAACAGTTGTCCCAAGAAAGTGATTCCACTGTTAACTGAACTTGAAGACAAACACCACAAGAAAGCCAATAAAGGAAATCTTGTGTGATAAAAGGTTCTCTTACTATCTCATCTTAAAGAAGCTACCTGCCACTTTGAAGTATCTCCTCCTTCCATAGGAATAACCAACATACCTTTTGGAGGCAGTTTAGACAGTGACTGCTCAAAAGTATTTCTACAGAACTGCTTTTTGGAAGAGATAGTAAGTTATTTTACTATTTGCACAAGTTGAATTTACTACACTCATTTTACTCCAATAATGTTTTAGCTACAAGGTATCTGTACAAGATATATCAGCAGAGATAGCACATTGTTAACACTACATATGTAAACCGAGAAACAACAGGTCCTTTCATCAAGGTGTCATATTGCAGGTAAGCCATTTTACGTTAGTCCAAGAGCTGTGAAACTGCACTTCCGCACCGAGGAGATTCCTGGTGAGCCCAACAGAAAAGCCGTGCTCTACAAAGGTGACTGTCCATCCTGGAACAGCAGCAGGAGAAGAATCAAGGAACCAGTGTTTGCGGTAGTATTCTTAAGAAGGATTCCATTCATTCGGTGCATATTGCTGTACATAAGGTGCATAAACCTGTCAGGTATGAGATCAGCGTGAAGAGAAGCCAGTTGCAAGGCTGCAACCAACTACTGGCGTCATGTCCCAGATCTGGAAGAAAATATTGTAGAGAATTACACAGCATTGTAATAAAGACCTAAGAAATAGTTCTCTAAGAGGCATAGAAGCAAACAAAGACCTCCCTGGACACAAGGTAACAAATCCTGTTTAAACTATACTTGAAGAAAATGTCATAAAGAGTTAAACCAGTCTTACAAACCAAAAGCCAAACTTAGGGCTCAAGAGAGTCTTCTAGCAGTTCTCTGTGAGTCCATTTAAAAAAGTGCTATGCAATTTGTTACAAACATGCTTACAGGGATGGACACGAACAGTCTCAGTTCTGACATGCATGGTGGATGTACAGCTTAAGCACAGCAAGATTCTACATCAGTCTGACTTCCATGTCACTGACTCCCTAACCAGGGCTTTTAAGGGCAATGCTCCAAGAAGGCAGGGAGCTCAGAGTAAAGGAAGCCAGCACTTTTTACATCACATCCATATCTTTAAGGCTGCTGGCAGATTCCCCTACTGGTGATGCCTACTTTGTTTGTCCAGAGGACACCAACAGTAACCAGTTCCAACTCCACACAGTGGAGTCACAGGTCATCTCCTTGTTCAACTGCAGGAAGAACAGTCTGTGACAAATACAATTCTTGCTGCCCACAGCAGTTAGCTTTGTAGCAACAGTTGTCAGAAAGAAAAAAAAAATATACAAACATTAGGTCTCCATTAAATATCTCTAATGCAGGAAAGAGGTACATGAATACCTTCACAATCCGGTCACTCCCACAAGTCACCATTAGCCCTCTGGAGATGTCCATGGACATGTGTGAAATGTTGTGTTTTCCTTCATGAAAGGTTGCCAAGGAAGTACGGCTGCACAAGAACAATTCAAATGAAAGCCAGCCATCAGATGAAGCTTGATGGCACTACTACAGCAGTGCAAAACAAACTTACAAAAAATTTAAGTTGCTCGAGCACTACTAAATCAGTCCTGAGAACTGCAGTGCCATATTAAAGGGGACAGAATTCAATTCTCAAGTCATGCTAAAGCATTGCCTGTGTAGTTATACAGGTGTGACATTTCCTGGCCTTCTGCAGCCTGACTGTTAATAATACTAGAACAGGGACACTGCATTAGTAAATAATTCTACTCTCGGTTAGAAGTCAAGCTCAGCTACATTTTTTCCTCCTGGCTATAATGAGTCAACTAGGGCACATCACCTCCTTTTTTTCAAAAAAACATAAACAAACAAACAACCCACCACCACCACCAAAAGAAAAAGCACAAACACCCCCAAAATTGGCATCTCATTACTGTGGCCCTCTGGCACTCCAGGTGTCCAAAGAGGTGACAGGACAGTGAACAGCAAAGCACTGTTCATATCAAGATAAAGAGAGGGTTCCTTCAGTGCTAAGAAGAGCTTAACAAGACAGCAAATGATGTTTAACCCAATTTGCTTACACAAGCAAAATAAGGTTGAGCTGTGAAGAATACTCCCACAGAAATAGTTTTCAGTAAGTGTACATGAACTAATGCATATACAACCTGGCAGCTGTGATGCGTTGTTAGGCACCCATTTAGCAATTTTAGGTGCAATCAATACCCTTTACCTAAATAGAAATCTTGATACAAATATATTTCAACTCTAGATCTGGGCTCATGGAAAAGAATAAATAAAGTGGATAAAAAGATTGTAATACCACATCTGATCCAAATCAGCTTACAAAGCCAACTGAGGGATCACTATCATTGCAAGTGCTTTGAGTGCCCAAGCAAAAGGTGGCAGCAGAGTGTCAGCTTGACATGTTTTTGTAGCATTGTGTATGGATGTGGAGCAAGCACACGTGTTTCTGCACCTCTGGAGTACTACTTTAATTTTTCACTCCTTAATACTCACTCTTCATCCTTGATTGACTCAAAACAGGAATCACAGACACGGACCTGGAACTCAAATCCCATGATTGGGTAACTTGACCGCTTGGTACTGCACTTGCCACACACCGCTTGCCCACATTTTCTGCAATGATGCTTCATGGAGGAAGAAGAAAACAAACAAAATCACAATATTGTGCCACATGACCGCCTTACCAAGTGCTTACTGAACCACAACACCAAAGCTTCTATTTTGCAATCTGTTAGGAAGTCTGCTACTTCAACCAAAGACCAAGGACTTTGGAGGTCTGAACAGTACTCTTGGCCATTAAGGGGCCTCCATATTCTCCCTACCCATCCTCTTCTCCCTTTGCAAGCTCTTTCTAGGAGCAGGGGAAAAAAAAAAAACGATAAGCAAGCAACCAAGGAAATAACAGTCTAAAAAAGCCAGAAGCAGACAAGTCTTGGTGCCTGTCCAGCCCCTCCAAAAAGAAAGCTATCTGGAAAGCTTTCACATTCTAGCCCAGTAAGAGCAGGGCTGTCACCACTTCACTGAAAGAAGCACCCTACAACATGTCAGGCTGCAATCTGCTCAGTTATGGGGCACTGTGTGCCACTTAAGACAACACCTGAGGATTAGCCATCTACAGCTCCAGTGCATAGAAAAATTCAAAGAAATCCAACAGAGCACTCCCAGCACAACCTGCTTTGTCCCAGCACTTTCCGCAGAATATGGAAATTTCTTAGCACTGCCTAGAAGCTGTGACTTCTCAATAAAACCTCACTTCAAACCAGCAAAAATACCAACAGTTTAAAAGGTCTAACAGCTTTAGTGGTTTTCTGTTTGCATTTTGCTTATTTTCCTAAGTGCTGGAGTACAGCTAAGCACTCAAACCAGCGGTCTCACCTGTCTCAACCCTAACGTCTTTGTGTCCCACATTTGCTTTATATTCCAGAAGAAAGGTTGTTCACACTTCTGACAGGAATCACTTTCTAGCCATTGAGGAGCCTACAAAAGAGCAAGAGATGCAAGCAATCAGAATTATTTTTCCTCATACCACAGCCAAGGAAGTTTGTTTTAAGAACCCAAAGTTTTACTTGGAAAGATGCCCTGTTTCATCTCTGGATATTACAACAGTAGATTGCCTAGGGTATAGTACATAGGAAGTTTAGAACAAAAAACTCTAAACCCAAGACTACAGTTATTTGTCACCTACACACCTCCTAACGCTTTTTAAGCCCATTAAATAAGAAAATTAATTCAAACATCTAAGTTATTAAACTTGCTGCAGGTATTTACTGCTCTGGTTGCCTAAATGATTTTTAAGGGCTAGTGTAATCCAAGCTGTAAAAGCTATGGGGCAGTTATTCCCTCTAAGAGGGGGCATCCAGAAGTAAATTCTGGAAGTATCTTTTCTGCTTCCCCAGGACTGCAGTTTGAAACAATTAAGAACTCATCTGCATTTTCCTTTCTGCCTGCATCTTCATTAAGCATCCTTTCTCCCACCCACATATTTGTTCTGCCATAAATGGACTAGGACAAGTTAAAATAGAGCTTTTATACATTTCAACACTCTCAGATACTCTGAGCATCCTTGTAAGGGACGGAAACAGAGGCACAATATTTTTAATATGTAGGCTTGAATTAGAACATGTATATTCTATACAACTTTATACACCTGATGGGGAAGTCTCCCTGAAATGTGACAGGATGAAAGCTGGAAAAAGGAAGCTTTTATCCTCAATTCAATTATATTAATTGTTGATAGTACCAAAACAATAGTACTGTCAGCTACATCACCATCTCACCATGAATATTTATCAATACCAGATGTCCAGTTCCTATATCTTCAACTTTATTGCACTCCCTTCCTTCCCCCATGCTAGTGCAAAATATTGTTACTACCAACAAGTCCAGCATGGGGCATGGAGGAGGAGAGTAGAGCAAATGAGTTGCCTCTTCACCAAGTGACATGTTTTCTTTCGGTTACTTACAATAGTGGTTTTCACTTAATTGCATTTTTGAGAACACAATCCACTTCCTGGCTCCCTCTAACAGAAAAACAGGATATCTTCCTGTTCTTTTCATCTTAATTTCAGGCATTAAATAGGAGGTAAAAACCTGCCAACACTACCAACACTGTTACCAACAGACAGTTGGAACTGCCCAACATCAATAGTACAGCTGTCAGGGGAGTTACCATTACCTCTTATCAAAAGTCTGTCTTCTAGTCTTATGTGCATTAGTGCGTATTTGAAGATACCCTATAACATGACTTTGCTATTTAATAATTCAGAGACAGTATATTCATCATTCTTCAAACATTTGGTTTCTTTGCTTTTGGACTGGGCTCGATTATTTTTTTCAAAAAAGTTCTAAAATATTACAGCTCTTCTAAGTTAATCATATTATTTCAGTTGTATTAAAGCTATTTAGAAAATCCCTTAATTTTTGAGTGCAGATCCAGAAAAGAAACAGCCACATCTTTTTTTCCCAATTGTATTAGAAGTCAGTTCCTTGAAACTACAAAGTTTCGTAATATTGCAGAAGTTTTGAAGAGAGAGCATCCTGCTGAAAAATCTTAGGAGCATCACATACAGCATTTAGTGTGTTTAAGGTGACAGCTCAATGCATGTCAAGAAAACAGTTCTTGCTTGACACTTGCCTTTAAAGAAAAACAACAGGGCAAGGAAGGCTAAGCCTTTATGGGGCAACCAAAACTACCTCCTATAATTATGGTTTAACCAAAGACAGTAGTAATATACATATTTTCAGCTCCTATGATGGATATGAACTGATGCAGAAAGAAAATGCATGGCTGGTTCAGCTGCTGTCTGCTGAGGTCTTTATAAAAAAATGTTGCTTGGAGACTGAATCTCTATATTCTGAACTGCATCTCAGAAACAGCAGCTCACTTCTTCACTTGCTTTGACATGAGTTAATAACTTATTTCAAGACTGGTGAAGCACAGTCCACTGGTGTCTTTGCTGCAAAAGCCTGCCTGCTTTAGAGTGTTCCAGCAGCAAGGGCTGTAGCCATTTCAGTGAACATGTTGTCCCATTGAGAGAAGACTAAGCAGTCCCAAGCCTGTCCTGCACTTCTTCCTGGGAATCCATCTACTACAATGCAGTACGGACAGCCACTAGAACAGAACAGTATTTTAGTAATATCACTCAGCCTTAAAGTTTCAGGCAACATGAGGAAACCAGCCTGCAGAACCGAGTAAGCCAAGCCACAGCAGCCTCAAAAAACCCCCCAAACCAAGTCTTTGACCTAGGACATGATCTTACCTCTTCACGGCTGATATCCATGTTCCAAACAGCAATTCCCCCATCAGCTGAACAAGATACCAGCTGCCGTGTCAGCTGGATGTAACAGATAGCCTGCACCTTGTCACTGCAAAAAAAAAGCAGACACCATTTACCCATACGTGTTTAAACAAAGCTGTTTCCCAGCAAACCCCGATTTATCATTATAAAGCTACCTAGGAAGCCAAAACTGATTTCCAAACACTTTGCTACGTCTAAACAGAGCTATGAAGATAACTGAACAGATGCTGTCACCTAAGCACTACCCTAGCATCAGGATGTTGCCTCAAATAGTGTTTTTATAGGCTTGACCAGAATACCAGAAGTACAATTCCTTGTTAACATTTACTAGCTGTAAGCATTAACAGTTTGCTGAGTGTCAACTGGCTCAGAGTGTGCGTGCAAATACTCTTCTGTGTTGGCAAGTAGAGCCAGTTATCGAAACAGAGACAACTGGAAATATGAAGAGAAATATTTGTATCAAGATACAGCTGTGAAGCAGAGAGAGCTTCCACTTTTGCTAACAAATCACAACAAATAAGTCTGTAGCTGCAAAGCAAAGCATGCATTCACCAATAAGACAGTTTAATCCTAAACAAAGTCATGGCAAAATAAAAGTCTACCCTAAGAAACTAACAAAAGATCACAACAGTATTAGACTGCTTTGCAACATCTAAGTTGAATTTAAAAAGTCATTCTGCTTCTCAGAAGAACTTACTTTCCCATTCAGTATGAAGTTTGATGCTAAGTGTGATGTTTGAAGAGAAACTAACAGTGTTAAAAGTCTTCACCAGGACACATGATGCAGCAGTAACAGCAGTATAAAGTCCTCCAGTCACTGACTTCAGTTACTTTTTTGTAACCAGTATTCTATTATTAGTTCTTTAGCCATAAAACTAAATCCTCAAGATTTAACAACAGTTCTAGGGCTAAGGCTATCAGTCTTGATCAAAGGTGGATGGAGTCATCTATGGAATTAGACAAGAGGAGAATGCACTATACAAATAAATCTTTAAACATAAATAAGATCTCCACTACCACTGCATTTCTAAACAAAATATATCTTCAGTGGTGAACTGCCTGTCAGACTGAATTAAGGCCCTAGATTTTAAAATGGCAGCTAGTGTTGTGTCTCTGTAAAAAAAAAAAAAGAGTTGATTAAATACAGACAACTACCTAATCCACAGAACAGTGGAGATGTGACATGCTTTCCTGAAGTTGAGGGACCAGCCCTGTAATTTAGCCAATTAGTTTATCACCTCACTGATAGGAAGAGACAGAACAGGAACATATTGAAGCTTATTCTACATGGGTACACAAACATACATTAGGTTTCTAGTCCCACCCTCACAGGCAACTCAGTGAAGTATTTACAATACAGAAGCATGCAACTTTTACATAAAGTCCAAGCAAGATGATTTAGGATTTTTACCCACCTCTTTCTATAACCTACTTTCATATTATGTTCTTATTACCCAAGGTTTAGAAGTATCAAACATAAACAAAATTTTATCAGTAATTCTTTCCTAGTGCTGATTATCCTTCTTCTCCCTCAAAGTTCTCAGAGTTCTGCAAAAAGTTGTTTTCCACATTACTCACAAAGATTCAAATATCTTGTCATGCTATTTAGTCTTCCTAGGACTTTGTGTTCATTACAGAACATGTAGGAAAAATAAGACACCGTTACATACTGATGTCCCTGGAGCAGCAGTGTTCGCCCCTTCCTTCCACCAATATCCCACATGATAATGCTGTGATCAGAGGCACCTGAGAAGAGCAGTCGTTGAACAGGATCCCACCACAGGGAAGTAATACTTCCTAGGAAAGAACATTCAGCAGTTAGATCTAAGGGAGCCACTCCCCAACACAATGATGCTCTTCTGGGTCATTAAAATGAAACCTGAGGTACTCCCTTACTACAGTAACAGACATTGAACCCTTAAGGCAAAGGACAGCATGCAACAGCAAAATACGGTCCTGCTAGAGAGGCAAAGAGCAAAACATCAGAAAAAAATCAACAGAACAAAACATCCCTAAGAAGAAAGTTAGATCCAAAGCATAAGCCAAAAAGTTCAAGTTGCTGGCCTTCTGCCCCTTTTATTTAGGTGGTTGGTTTTAAGAGTCAGCAGGCTGCTATGTGATCTTTGGAAGATTAAAAATACTAGAACTTGTCAAGCAGAGAGTAGTATTTACAATAAAGTGGTTGGTCAGTGTTTGCAGGACAGCATGCAGCGTTCACAAGTAAACCAACTCCCTTACAAAACAATTTACAACCTTAAAATAGTTTGAATAAGGAACTAAGTGACAGTTTCACTGCTGTTAGCGTTATCTGGCCACTACATACTAAATTACACAACTAGATTTCAGAAGGCCCAACCTGGCTGTGTACCTCATTAGTCACACACAGAAAGAAATGAGTCATCTGGCAGTATGCATGGCAATGTAGACAGCAGACTAAAGTAATTTTGTCACTCATGACACCTATAGTTTTTAAGTTGCAGGAACATTCTATTCCCTTACAGACACATCCCTCACTTTAAAGCATCCTTCCATTGCTCAGTTGTCATCAAAAGCCTTGTTAGTCTGAAAGCAAGATGAATGGTAATTATAGCACAATTCAGTCCTCTTCAGCTCTCTGAAACAAGAGATTTTTCTTGTCTCCTTTATGGCTACACTGTTATCAGACTGACCCATTTGAGAATACTTGTCTCAGAGAACAGTGAGCATCCGCACCATAAAAGGCAGTTTGAATATTATCACAGCATTACTCAGAGTAGGCTGTTACATATGGAGAATTCTAGAAGATGACTGTTGAAGGACAAGCTCTAAAACCATTTAAACTGCAAAGCAAACACTGCAAAGTCACAGTAAGGCAAGAACTAGGAAGGAAACAAAGATGAAGTCAGACTTCTGAAGTCTGGCATACAGCTGCACTCAGAGAAGAACTAGGTGTCATTCAAGTTTAGAGTTACCGAGCCTTAAGAATATTACACAAATACTGTGGAGGTAAAAAGGTTACACATCATCTCTTTTGTTTTAAGGAAAAAGGAAAAAAAAAGATGAAGTAGCTACTATTGCACTTCAAATTTAATCACTTTTTATACTTGATCCAATTCTTGTTTTGAGAATCACCGTCCCCTTGGGAACTTACATACAAGCCAAAGTTGTCTGTGAATATTCAGCACTGCTGAAGCTGGTGCTTGGAAGCCTACCGCAACTCGACAGAATACACACTATACATAGTGCCATGTTGAGATGTACTGCTCTCAGACTAACAATAATATGTATCAAGGAGTTGCATTTGAACACAGACTAGTGCTAAAGCATACAGAGGTAAAGGAGGCTCTAGGGCCAGGAGAATTATTTGGCTCTTAACTGAATCTCAAATTCTGCTTGAAATCTGAAGAGACATTTATCATGGGAAAATCTCAACTTGCCTCCCACATTCGGAACCATCTTTATAATTTTACAGTCATCTGTAAATCAGGAGCCTACCCAGCTTTAGCTAAGTCTACTCTATGCTTACAGCTACTAAACAAGTCAGCCTGTTCCAGCAGGTCAGAGACTCATGACCCAGTAATTCACCCCTACCCAAATGCACACTAGTCAGATGATTTGAAAGCTGCCAGTAACACATTGGAAGAGGCATTAAGTCTTGTTTATTTCTCTCAGCATATTATTAAATTACAGTCTTCTGTGGCTTGCATTCTTGCCTTACTCATTACAGCAGACAGTGGCTCCATATCATGTTACATACTATTTGGTTCTTCATCTGACATAAGGACTTGCTATACTACACAGGATGAAACATCTGTCTTTGACTAGACAGTTTTGATTCTAAAAGGCTCTCTAGATTTCTTGCACATAGCTTAGTTTCAGCTAAACATAGGAAACTGAACTAGAGTCTCATGAAGACTGATCAGAACAGCAAAATCTGCATTGGGAAGAATTAAGTGGCTTTTTAGAATCTAGACTGGACATTGCTAGAGCTGCTTTGTGCAGTATTACAGTACTAGGTCTTCAGAAAAAAAAAAAAGTAACATCTGCATCCTTTCTTGTCAATGTTAAGGAGACTAAAGTTTTTAAAGGTGGCCATCTAGTGGCTAACTTGTGTTTAATCGAATGCATGTTTACCTTAATTTTTCATCTGTAATAAAAATACCTGTCAGTATTGATAATGCTAAGATTTTCCCATAGTGAGAACGTGTCTGTTCTTTAAGAGATAGCCATATGTACAGCTTTGAACAGCTTTTGATAACTACTACCCTGCACTAGTTGTTTATCCAATATCTACAGCTGAATGTCTCATCCCAATTTACAAAGAGGTACTACAATATGGATCAAGTGGAATTAAGAGGAAAAGTTACTTTACCTTCATGGCCTTTGAGTGTTGTGATAACTGAGCATGTATTCTGCTCAAGCTTCAGGAGAGTGATCTGCCCAGAATAATCACCAACAAACGCGTGCCGAGTTTCATGGTCATATCTGAACATCAGTCAAGGAAAAGACTCATTTGCTCTGAAGAGATAGATAGCACAGCTGTCAGCTATGGAGTCTAAACAAACCGGAAAAGAACATTTTAATGTCAGATAAATATTTACGCAACTACTTCTAAAGAGGTTTAACTATTACGGACTCCAACCCTTCTTGTCCCTCTCTTCTCACACTTCCCTACATATGCAGGTAAGATAGTATGGGAAATGTGAGAAAAGTTTTAGAAAGCTACTGGAGAAGCCATGAGATAATCTGTCCCCTAGTTTAAAGCAAGCCAAGTAGATTTAGACCATTTCTAGCAGATATTTGCAGAACACACTAATGATCTACAAGAGATACCAGAACTCCTCAGGCTACTTGCTGCAGTGCAGAGCTACCACAAGGAGCACCTCACTGGACAACAGGTGGCATTCAGTCTTACCTAGTATCTGCTCCTATAAACTCTTAGTTTTCTAGGATGTTATACTAGCTGATGCCCCCAGGATAGGAAACTAAGCTACAAGGATGCTGAACATCTACAGGTAGTTCACCTTACAGTGGAAGTATACTCCCAAAATTAGGCAAGACCATTTAATTTCTTATTCTGTCCTCTGCATTTTGAAGTGTACTGAAGCAGGTCCTTGACCACAGCATTGAAGACTGAACTGTATTTCAGAAAGGGTTCTGTCATTTAACACTGACATAAAAGCCACACCACATCCTAACATGGGATCTATTAACCAGGTGGCATGTTTGGCAAAAGCATTATACATCATCACAGTTTTCCAATAATCAGTTTTTGTCACTATGTAACTACTGTCTTCAGAAACTAAAGCATAGTAAACTGGATGGAACTAGATCATTTGCCACCTTTAGAAGACTTGCTATTCAGGATATAAGCAAGAGCTATGAAAAACCCATACAGCTGACACCACATCATCCAGGAGTTGTGTATAAATTCACCTGTCCTCCCGGAGCCACACAAAACCACAAGCAGCAGCTAGCAAAGTAGCCTATCCTACAAAACAGAAAAGACTAACTGAAAAAGTCAGTGTACCAAAAAACCCACCACAAGTGAAAAAGCAGAAGTTTTGCTATCTGATGACATTCTGAAATCTCTTAAGCCTTCAGACTCTCAAGATAAACAATTAGCTTTCAACAAATCCACTAAGTCCCTGAACATGTGATCCTTTCTTCATCTTGGAAGTTCAGGCTACCATTATCCCTACTAATCCAGTAAAGAATAGGCACTCTGCTGTGTTTTTCAGAAGCTTATACATATGATCATTAACAAATAACTCCTAAGGAACCTCCTGACAGGGAGACCAAGCACCTAGTACACAGACCAGAAAGCTAGTTGTTCCAAACACAAGTCCAAAGGCAGGATCAGTTACAATGCATTTTCAAATGCCATGGTCTTCAGTGGAGGTTAACTTGGTAGAAAAGGTCATATTCTTTTCTCCATTTTCACACTAAACTGTTCCATTATTTGCAAGTGTTCGATACAGAACCCACAGAATTCAAACAGTGAGGCTCAGAGGCACCAGACTCTTCTGCAAGCTAGTCTCCTAACACACACACACACACACCCCGACCAGTGTTAACCCAGTTCTGTGCTGTATTCAGCTGAGGTGAGTTGTACATAAAATGTTTTGAGGGACACAACCCCCCTGGAACTCTAAAACAAGGACAGCAAAAAAGAGCAACAATACAAACCTGTCAGCTCTTCAGTCAGTAAGGCAGGGTCTGCATAGATGGGAGATCTCAAAATGCTAGACATGCTGCTGGCAACCAAGCAGTTAGCATTCCTCCTAGTTTCTTATCACCGCACAGATATACAGCAATTCTAGAGAGGTCTTTATTTTTTCAAGAGATGCAGTTGACCTCTTTCACCTTTTGAATCATGCCACTTCCACATTACTGCCATTAATCCTCATACACCAACCAATATCTACAATTACTGTCCAGCTACATCTAAACTGCCACCATTAAGAAGTACTAAAAAATAGCTTTCAAATTTAAAGTATTTAACTCATGCTCAGAAGTTTTAATATATGAACTACATTTTAAGCTACTGGGTTGGTAAATCTTTTCCATAGGATAAAGAATGCCCCGAAGTACTTACAGCTGAATAGACAACTGCAGTTCTTAAGGTACAAATGCTACAGTTAAATGCAATTTGCAGAAAAGCAAATCACACACAAACAAATTACTACTAGTAATGAATAAAGTTTCAGTGTACCCCATAGCTTCAAGATAGAAAAGATTAACATGAGCAAAGGTAGAAAAATTAAAGCAGTCCAAAGGGCTTTCATGATGTTTCATGCTCTAGAAGGACTCAAATGCACACCAGCATCCATTGAAACAAAGTGACTTGTCTAGGAATTATACAAGTCAGGCTATAGATAGTTACTGGTCACTTCCACAAGACTACAGACAAACATCTCAAAATCAGGAACTAGTACACACTACAATTTCTGTAACTCAGGGTCACAACATACCCTTCTACTGCCTAACAGCTAACAGAAATAAAGGTATTAAACACCTAATCAGTATAAGGGTTTGCAGACTTGCATGGCAACTCACACTAGCTTTTTACATGAAAAGGGGGAACAAACTAAGCTGAATGAACAAAGTACTCTTCCAGTTTCAGGGTAGCAATCGTTTTTCAAAGGATACTGTAGACATGAAGCCCAAGAGGTGAAATAATGTCTCCCCAGCATACTCCCGCTCCTGGTACACATCCAGCTGATACACTTGTCATGACCAGTGCTGATAACCCACTCTGATGTCAAGCAGAAAGTAATAGCAGACACTCGATTCTGATGAGCTACGGGAAGAAAAAGATTCTGGGTAGTTTTTCCTAAAAATCTAAGTGATGTGTCCTTATGTTCTAATTCAGACACACACAGGTTGAAAATGATATCTAAGCAATGCCCCAGGTAGATGTTTTTACTATCATGGACTTGCCTCCAGGTTGAATTAAAAGGTTAGCATTGTTCAGTTTGGTATTTGCCATCTGAATAGCTTAAGTGAACCAAATATGTCAGTTAATTTAAGTTTTTCTCCCACTGAGAGAGAAGAGAGTTCATCCCAGATACTCAAGATGCTCTGGTTAAGGAGCAGGCAAACCCTTAGCTTCCTCTAGTTAGGCCAGGACTTTAGGGGAGTAATGTAACACCTCTAAAAACCTTAATTGCTTTAAGTGCCTATTTTCCTGACCCCAGGGGACCTATGCTCATATTTAGACTTTCAGGTGCTTAAAAGCGTATCTAGTCCACAGCATTCAAACTGCTACCTGTGATAGCAACCAAATCCTACACAGCTTTGTTTAGAATACTGTCACTAATCAAGGTATAACATGAACATTAGAAAGAAGCCCCCTCTGTCCTCCAAGATGCAAATACTTCCTTTGACTGAGTTGTCAAACCATCTTTCTTTGGATAAAGGGGGGTTTTGTTACTTTAAGAACAAGGTCTTTTTCTCCTAAACAAGAACGTTGCTTCTATCAGTGTCAGGGAGTCATAAGACAAACTGCACTTTGTTTCACTACATCATCAGCAGTCTAAGAGTCTCCTTCAGGCCTTCCATATTAATATTTCAACCAATTGAGTTCTGCATTTCTTTTAATGATGTGCAGACAGATGTTGAAATTAGCATCTCCATAAATATTAGAACAATTCTTATTCCCCATGTACCTGAAAAGTACGTCCCTATTTTCATCCCTATTGCTCTACTAAGATGACAGACAGGGCAAGGACTCTTACCTTCAGTTAGAAGTAACTAAGCCCAGTGATTACAAAAAGTAAGAATGGAAATTGCAAATACCAAAATGCACCTTTAGAAAGCTCTTACCTTAACATTCATGCAGTATAACTACTTCACTTGAAGAGCAGAATCTGAGCTCACTAGTTCTGGCTCATTACACTCGCAGCACAATGATGTGCTGAACTTAATGACTGCAATTCAGACTCAGTTGACTGACGATTACTCAATAACAATATGACAGTTATCCCCAGCTAAGTGTCAACTAGAAGGTCAGTCAGATTTAAAGTATATTTGGACTTGATTAATCTGTGATGATGTCCAGTTTCCTAAGCATTTTAGATGCCTCCCCTTCACACAAATGTTAGTGTAGACACTGGTTAACAGCTTACCTGGATAGGTCTTCACAAAGTTCATCTTATTAAAGTCCTCTGAAATATGAAACTCCTAGAAGTAAAGTGGAACTGTTAGAAAAGATACCACAGTGACATATGCAATATTGATACCCCAAAAAAAGCAGTAACCTCACTGGCCAAAATTTGCATAGCAGCAGTGTATCTCACTAAAAACTCACAGTTTCTCAGGCTGGAGCATAGCACACCAACACGCCAATTGTAAATTAAAGTTGTTAGTGAGCTATGTTTTCAACACTAAGCATCCTTTCAGAACCAAGATTGCTGAAAGGAGATTATAGGAAGAGATATGATCTAATTTGACCCCAGGAGGAACAAACAAAACTGTATCTTATAATATTTAGGATTTAAGTATCTGAGGCTTTATAATGGACAGATTTAAGAGAAAGTATTCTCTATTTGATCCATTAGACTTACTGAAATTTTAAAAGTCCCAACTTAAAATTTCAAGTGGTTATCACTAGAATCACTATTCTATGTAGTTCTGTGTAGGCTATTCACAGTAGTTATCAGTAGAATCACTATTTATGACATTCATGCAGTACCCTGGCTCCTTACAGAAGAGTTATTATTTTGACCTTATTTTCACAGAGAAAGGAAGCCATTAAAGCATCTGAGAGTCATAAGTCACCCCTCCTTTGCCAGGAAAGAGGGGGAAAAACACAGACCCACTTTGTTCTGCCATATGTATCTGCTCTCCAGGAGAGGGAGAGCAATTACAGCAAGAGTATAGAAATACAGAAGGAAGACTTCCAGAAAAAATAAATCAACCCTGCCTCTTGTAATTTTAGAGCTAGCATTGAAATTTCCATATCATAAAAAGATCTGCAGCAAGAAAATTCACAGACTTGTGCATGGTGAGATACAGGCAGATGCATACTTCTAGACAGATGCAAGCTAGCTGCAGTTCACAACCCGTTAGTGCGCCACCGTGGCACTCTGCCCAGCTTCAGGTACTCCTCAAAATAATTCCCTGAAGAAGTGTAATTGTCTGGGTCAGCTGCTATACTAATGGCTCAATGACTTCTTGAGGCTATCTGGCTCACATTTAGCTAGAAGAACCCTTGTTTATTTGCAGTCCTCCCATATACACCTCAGGTGAACTGCCAAGAAGTTCACCCATTTAGCAGTAGCTGCATTCTTAAAAGAAGGCAAAGAAAACAGGTTATCAGCTGCCAGCAACACCTAGTGCTCACAGGTGCAATTATCACCTAGATTCTGAAGAAAAATCCCAGCAATTTACCATGATAGCCCCATTATCCTGGCCTACAAATATTCGTCTGCTGTCATGATGATAAGCCATAGCTGAACATGGTGCTGTCAAAAAAAGCAAGAACAATACAATTACTGAAATAGCAGTATTAGGATAAACATGACTTATTAAAACCAATTCTTTCACTCAGGGCAAAAAGCTGTTTAAGATTAAGTAGCTTGATAGAAATTAGCCTGCACAGAAAATATTCCTTGGTAGGACAGTTAAATTCCCATATGTGAAGCTGAGGAAAGGTACATTACTACAGTAACTCAGATATACCACTAGGAACCATATACAAACATGATTTCCTCCCACAAGGTGCAACACAGTAAGAGGAATTTTACCCAGGCTGTAAGCCTAGCTAGAAGCAACAGCATGTGCAGCTGGTTAGACTTAAGAACTTGAGCTCACTAAAATTATCTTAAATGGAGCCCTGAGTTGTATACAGGAACAATATTCCATTCTTTACATTTGAGGACTGTGCCATTAGAGAGAATAAATTTCTAGACAAATATGTAATTGCACATCAACTTCATACAGAACCACGTCTCAACATATGCAACTTTAAAAAGACTCATATTTTTGAGGTAACATACTATCTCTTTTAGCAGAAAACCTCTGAAGACCTACTTCCCTTTTTTAAATTAAGAGTTAAAAATAAATGTGAAAAGCAATGACAACAAAATTACAGCAGTGTCCTAAAGAAAACTTTCCAAAAAAATTTCAGTGAAGAACGTCCTCATTAAACTTGCAGATTACAAGGATGAGAAGGATATAGTGTTCTAAACTAGTACCTTTTCCAAGACCTTCAAATTGTGGCCTTAAAAGTGTCTTTATAAATTTAAAGCCAGACAGGACAGTGTGGAATATTACAGTGGTCATATTGCATAAGGACAAGTCCATCCCTTGGAATTACCTACAGGCACACTTTATTTTGTATAAACCTTTTTAGAGTACAATCTGAATAGTATATTTATAAAATTGATAAATGTAGCAACTTCTGTAATTTAGACCAACTGTTAGGAAAAAGAGGATTACAGTTGGCATTTCTAATCTAGATCATAGGCTACTCAGCTTGCAGTTGAAAAAAAACCCAGAATATCAAGGAGTCCAATTCTTTGGTCTTCATTTAACATTTGTATTCAAATTACTACAGAAATTGTAATTCCGAAGACTATCCTTTGTTTCTACAATGTTTTGTCATTATATTCCCTCTTTTTATATGTGGGATGTGTCTAGGTGGCAACTCTACATTAAAAAAGTTACAGCAAAGCACCCAGACTGAGTGGTTTCAAAACAAAAAAAGCACACTGACATTCAAGATCTACTCCACAATAAAGCTGCTACTCAGTATTGCTTTCACAGTTACCTAAATGCTGAAAAAAAAAGAAAATAAAACACGCACACCTTGGAAAGAAAAGAACATTCTTATGTCTGAACTTTCAGCTAGTGGTTTGAAAAGCTCAGTTACTCAGGAGACAAGTTACTTGCCAGCATTTGAGACATCTACAGCTGCAGATGCACAGAGATTTACCTGTTGAAGGATCTGGTTCTGACAGAATGCTGCCTTAGATCTCATCCACTATGCAGCTAGTTTCAAATTAAAGTCTGAGCTAGAGTTGCTGCAAAGTTCCCAAATTTACAACCACTGAGTGAATCCAGCACTTGGCAAAACAGCACAGGTACAAAACCCATGATATGTCTGGCCATCACTTAACCTTCTCCAACATTGTACTTACATGACATGGTGTGATAAATGCTGGGCCAGTATTGTCCACTGTCTCTCTTCAACCATACTCGTATTGTTCTGTGTCATGGAAGAGAGGAAGAAGACAGTTGTAAGCCCATCATCCTTTGCATCTGAACCAGCTGACTGACTATATATCAGCTCCAATCCTCTCAGCTTTTGTGCTACTCAAACATAATAGAGGAACAACCTCTAAATAATAGTACTCTGACATAACAAGAATAAGAATACTAAGAATAGCCACCCTTGGATTCTGATGTTTTCTTCAAAACTATTTATACGTTGAGTTTTAGTAAGTATGAAATGGAAATACTATTTCAGCTCACCTCAGAAATTACTACATCCCTTTAATTCCTTCTCCTTGACTCTGGCTGATTTAAGTCAAATTCAAGTTGCCGGAACTTTCCAGCTTTGGCAGAGCAAACCACAGTTTATTTTATAGCAGATTAAGTGTTTGAAAAAAATTATTCTGTTATGGAAGTCTGAACTTTTGAATTTTTACAGCTTCCCTGTACAACACATCTTCAGTAAGCCAGATACTGAGTATTAGTAACAAGCACCTATTCCTCCAGACCAACACATTACTGACATCTCCATCCCCAAATACTGATGTATGGATCCACAGGGGACATCATATCTAGTTCAGTATTATTTCCTCTTAGCCGTGCTTCTACTCCCTCATGTACAAACACAAAGGATAAAAAACATTAGCAGCACCGCTACTTCGCACTGCTCCTCTGGCCTAAATACGGACAGGATTGATTAGCCAGTCAAATGGGAATTGAAAGAAGTTGACCAGAAGACTGGGACAGAATGCTAAGGCTATTTATAAAACAGTTTTTAGTAATCAGGCCTTGGAAGGAAAGGAAAAACAGTCTTGCTTGAGAACATTTAGCATGATACCACTCTCATGACCATCAAATCGTTGGAGTAGGGACATAAGAGAATCAGCAAGGAGTGGAAAGTTACTGTCAATTAAAAACATTCCCACCGACACATTTGAAGGGAATCTACAACAAGAAGTTAAGAGCAGACATGTAGTCAGTGTTAAGGTTATTTTAGGTCTATTTGAAATTTCCTCTCCAAACCATTGTTCGCTTTCTTGTTGCTGTTTGAATCCAACTTCCTCATTCCTAAATGGAAACCGAAATGATCAGTAAGTATGTGTACCAGGACACACTGTCAAGAGACTTAATTAAGACGAGCTGTTCTATTTACTTTTAACTTTAAAAAGTCCTGGTATTTAGATGTTTCTAGAAAAAAAAAAACCAACCAAAAAACAGGAGATAGATTTGCTAAACATCATGCAGTATTGCCAGTAAAAGTTTAACAAAAAGAGGACAGGAGAGGACTGGTATCTTGCATCAGGACTAGAACTTTTCAGGTTGAAGACAAAGGTAGCATTCCAATTTTATAACATTTAAGGGCTTTTCTTTAAAAGACCACCCAAAAATAAAGCAGACAATGCTCACCCTTAATGTGCTACTTTCCTTTTCTAAAACTTGAAATCAGTACAGCTGAGTACACACTGCCTCAAAACAATGACTTTCAGCTTTTGAATTAAGTTAAGTGGCAAATGCACATTACTCCAGTGCATTAAATATTTTGCATTAAGACTGTCTCTTAAAAGCTATCACTTCCCCTTTACAATAATCAACACCCTGCCCCACAGTCAGAAAGTTAACAGTTCAGAAAAGCAGCTGTAATTTCTTGGTAACATGAGGAAATGAAGAAAACAATGCTTCCAAGTCATTCTTCTGATGCAAATGCTAGTAGTAGCACAGGTTAGCACCTATGTATTTTTAACGGCTTTTTAATCTGTTTTTTAAAGCAGCTCCATCATATCTAACTGTTCTAAACATCTCACATGGTAGCTTTTCACCACTAATCCAACTCTTTCATGGATGAAGTCAAAATCATGTAATTCTTTTTGATACAAAAAGACTAGGAGTTATTGTAGTGCTATCATGCCTTGCTGATTTTCCCAAAGTAGATTTCTGTTTCCTTTCAGTATTCTGATCGATTATACTAAACTAGGAATTAATGTAAAAGCAGCACGGAATTGCTGCTTCTAAGCAAATTATTTCCTGGAAGCGTAATTTGTGCACTGATCATCAACAATACAGTCCTTCACTAAACTTGAGAGTATAAGCAAACAGCTGCAAGAGTTAGCAAAATTAACTTCTGAAAGCTTCTTATTTTGGTTTAAGATTTAGACTTCACTAGCCTCATGCTTGCAAAAATAAGCTGTCAGACAGCTGTATATCTAATTATACAAAGATCTGACCGAGCAAAATCTGAAGAGATTGTTTCACAGTAGTCAGCAAATAACCTGTGCCAAAATCCCACTTCTCAGTTCTCTCTCCTACAGACCTGTTGTTGTGGTGCATCTCTGTTTGCTAGACAAATTAATTTGTGAAATAACAGTTCTAGCTTAATGGATTAGAGAAGTCCTCCAGTAATGCTGCTTCCACAGTTGTCTCCTAAAATGAAACTGTTTTATTATGAGAACCACCATATCAACCCTTGAGTCTTAGCATTCTTCTCAAAACCTGGTATTTAATGAAGAAGCCTGTGCTCAGTACCTGAGAAGAGCTGGCTACCACTCCACTTTCCTTAAGCATTCCCTATTAAGGGCCTAGAAAGACACAGGTTTGTTTTGACAGCAGTCCCAGCAAGGATGTAAAAATACTGAAACTCATTAAGGAGCTCCCAGAGACAAATATACACTTTTTAAATCACTGTAGACTCAGATATTTGAAAGTGGCAGGAAGAAGTAAAACAAGACTGAAAAAGACCTCCATACGCATTTGAGTATTGAACCAGAAGTTGCCTTCAGCTGGAAAGCACGCACATTTATAGAAGAGTAATTCAAAGAGGGCGTTTTATTTGGGTTTTTTTACATACTATAAAGAAACACATACACAAAAGCCATGGTTAAGCAATGCTGTGTGGCCTTACCAGTTTCCAAGGATTTTTATTATTCTCAATTGCTGTTTCTTTTACACAGTAAGCACCCAACAGTACTGAAGAAAAAAATCTGGGGTTTGAGAGCAAAGAAGATCCTCCAGTGTTTCAACAGTATTTGTGCTCATGCCACATAAGCTGTCCTCTAAAACCCAAATGCATATATGTCAGGGAGAAAGAACTGATGAAAGATTAGCAGGCAAATCCAAACTTGCTACAATACCAGCACTGCAGCAAGTACTATGGAGCTACACTAGTCCTGTTCCAAGAACTGCATTGTGCCAACACCTTCAAACCACTAACTTTCCTATCTGAAATCAATCACTAACAATTGTTTTCCTAGCAAGATCAGAAGTTGGCATTTTTCTGGTAGCCAAAATAAACCAGAAGTATTTAGACTGCTACTTGACTGTGTTCCCAAAACAGCATTAGGGATCTGGTTTAATCACAGTGCAGTGCAAGCTCAAGGACACAGATTGCAGTTGATGCTTTTCGTCAAATTTCTGCTCACTAAAACATTAGTTTTGACCAGTATTTGAGTTCCATAACTGAAAAAAACCCTAACACCTCAACTTAAGCAGCAGTTGCAATGCAGTAGTAGCTGCTGATGGTCACATTCAGATGTGCTAGCGACCCTAGTGATCCTGTTAGCCTGTGGTAAATATAATACCTTCATCTTGCATTTAGGGTCCTGTACACTAGTTTACCATCCCTCAGGAACCCCAACTACAGATGGGAAACACTCATCTTGCCTTAGTTATTAGTCTACTAAGAACAAGGACAATAAGGCTAAGTCCAGAGATTTGCCTGTATCACAGATCTGTGCAGCCTACCCTGGCCTATCTCAGCTCTGAGAAAACACAAGCCAACCTTGAGCAGACAGATCTAACTCACAGCTGATACCTGAGCTGGCTGCCCAAGCTGAGGGACACACTGCAACAATTCCAAATACTGTCTTGGAGCCAGGGTCAGGCAAGATGCTCAGAGGGACACAGAGTTAATCAGCCTTTCTAGGTAAGTTCTGAGAAAGCTTCACAGATGGCAATTACCCTGCTGAAAAATCAGCTTGGGAAAAATAACTATTTAACTCCTGCAGGTATTCTTTCTTGCTTTTTTGGTTTCAAAAACTTAAAAAAAACCCACTAGATTTTTACTGGTATGCACAGATATACCATTGACATCTTTTGTACCCTAAAAAAAAAGAAACCAAACATTACTTCTCATTCCTTGAAATACAATTTAAAATGGAAAGAATTCCAACTTCTCTAACAAGAGGATAAGCTACAACATTCCTGGAGAATGTTTGTGCACCAATATTTTCCTCACTTAACTTGTAAACACATTCCTCTGACTGGTTATTATGAAATACTTGACAGCCTTAGCAGTATTAAGATGTAATAAAAAATACTCTGGCCCTACTCTTTTGGTGTACACAGCAGCTCTTTAGCTTCTTGGACTCTGTACTTTGCTTGCTGCTAGCAGCACAATCAGTTATGCAGTATTAACACATACACCCCGTTTTTAGTGAACAAACAGGAGAGCAGTAAGTTTGATAACATATTAAACTGTAGGTGAAAGATACACGAGTGAGTAGGCTTTAATGTACTGTAGGATGCATCCCAGATTAGAGGTAATACAGTGCAACAATTTCTGAAAGTTTAAAAGATCTAATTAAACTCTCAGAGTAAGGCAGGCTACACAAATTTTGCCTTGAGTCCAAAGCTTCTCTTAGAAATTTACACACACCAAAGGTGGGTAACAGCCTCTGCTCTCCTTGCACAGGTCTGTATCGGGACATCAAAACTTGCCCAGATAAAGATGCAGCTGCATCCTTGGCTTTTCTCAAAACAGTCTACACATGCAGACTCCTACCCTTCAGCATTAGACCTTTTAAGTTTAAAGGCTGCCTTTGTCTGCTACAGGCAAGCCTCTGCAAGCCTGTACCATGAAATTACATTCAGGTTTAACTCAGATATGAACTCTTTAAAATTGCTGATCTTCCCTTCTCTCCTTCAGGAAGTGCATTAAAACAAACTGAACACAATTTAAGATTCAGCCCACACTGTCACCCAAAAAGCCAACTTCATCCTGCACAATA